TCTCTGACTACCCGCCCCCCCCCCCCCCCCCCCCCCCCGGTTTTGTACCAATTCTTCAAGGAATGTTTAAATTTTCCAGTCCTGTTCTTTCTAAATTTGGAGCATCTGTTTACTCCCAGGATTCGGAAAGAATGTAACAATATCATCAGCAAGAAATCCCTCCCAGCCCTCCGCTCACCATCTTCCTCCTTGGCGAGCGGGCTGGCCTCGGCAGTGCTGGCCGTGACCCAGGTCCTCTCCAGCCTGGCAGTGCTGTGACCAGCTAGCACGTCCAGGGAGAGTTGTAATTGCGCGGTGGCGGTGATCCGGAGGGGGCTGAGATTTGGGGGATTTTGGGGGAATCTACCGAAGGCAGGTGACTTCAGAGCGGACAAAATGAAGTAGTGAAAAAGGAAAGGGGATTTCCATTGCAGGAGCTGACTTGAGCTGCCCAGACAGGAGTGGGTTCAGTACTGGCTGGAATTATTTCAGAAACAAGGACTCAGGGACAGATTATTTTAATTTTAAAAAAGAAAATAAAATAATTTTTAAAATTAAAATTAATTTAAAATAAATAATTAATTTAAAATACTTTTTAATTTTAAAAAAAGTGATCTAGTTGAAGATGTCCCTGCCCACAGCAGGGGGGTTGGACTAGATGACTTTTAGAGGTCCCTTCCAACCCAAACTATTCTATGATTCTATGAAAAAGCACTTTTTTTTTTTTTTTTTGCTGCATAGGGACAGTCCTAAAAGGAGGTTAAACATCAGGGCAGCTGAGTGTGACTTTGTGCATCCTTGGCTGAAAATACCGTGATGCTTTTGTGTGCTGTGTTGGTGTGAAGTCACATGCCAGCATCACATTTCCTTTGCTGCCTGCTCCTCTTGAAACACATCAGGCTGAGGCTGTTTTAGAAGAAAAGAGAAGATGAATGAAAAAAGCTGAGCTAGGCAGGTGCAAAAGCAGTGCATAGGCAGGGCAGAGCAGAGGGGGCTTGCTTTTAGTCAGAGTCCCAGGAGCTGGAGACAGCATGTGCATCCGAAAGGCAGCAAAAATACAAATTAATCTGCAAAACTTGTCATGGCTGACACTGAAGCTAAAAGCTTAGCAGGATCCAGAACCAGGATCAAGGCGTCTTTACAAACCTAATGTAAGAAAAAAATAATCTAAAACCTAAGAAAGAAAAAGCCATCTGGGACCACATTGGCCAGGGCAGGACCATGTTTTCTCGCCCTCCAGCCCCCATCCAGTGGGTGCTGGCGTCCAACCCCAGCCACCCAGCCCGGCAGTGGCCCTAGGGACTGCTCCCGGTCTCCGCAGCCCGAGGCGTGGTGGCAGGATAAGGTACGCCTTTCCCACCCTCCACCAGACCAGGAGATGCCTGGGAGCCGCCTGGCCCCAGCAGGACCGGCGGC